CACATTTCTCCAACTTTGTACACGATTCCCTCCCATCCAATGGAATGCCTTCCCTTGCTCCTTCTGAGCCCTGGATTGAGTGCCACTTCTTTTTTCTGGGCACTTGTAGGTGGAGCTGGCTGCTTCTTCCTCTATATTCCCACAGCGACCACATACCTCAAGGATAGTCTTTATTGCTCAACATTAGAATGAGTTGTGTGTGGTTCACTTTCCAACAAGTCTGTGAACCTCTTGAGGGCAACAAGGCACAGATATCTTGTTCAGTTCTGTATTCCCTGTCCCTATCACAGGGGCTGGCAGAGTAGGCGCTCAATAGATGTTTTGTAAATAAGCCCACTGCTAAGATGGATAAACCAGCAAAAGTAACCTTGGCTTTCTCTCCCAGGCTCCTGAGCCTGCTTCTATTTCCCTCCCTGAAGAACAGTGAGGAGCTAAACTGTGAGGGCCTCTGAGGAGCCGGACAGGATGGAGCACGGCGGGGTGAGAAGAAGGGAAAGAGGAAGTCAAGAAAGCTAACGCTGGCAGCTGCCCTGAAATCCGGAGGGGGCTTCTAAGCAGGTGAAGCAGCGGGAGCACTGGTTTGCCAGTGGAGCAGGACTCCGGAGCCTGACCGGGGAAGGAGCACCGAGCGCCTTCTTTCCCCCACCTTAGTGAGAACAGACTGGGCGGCTGGACCAGAGCCAGGCCTCACTGGCCCTCGGGAGGTCCTGTTTCACACAGATGCTAGGAGGACAAAACATCAAGCATTCCCCACCACCTTATCTCTTTCCCACAGCTTAGGATTTCCCAACAGGCGGACACTCAGGCACCTTCCCAGGGTAGCAGCTGCTGTGCTGGCCCCCTCCTTCGTCAAGCCGAGTCTTGTCTGAGGCTCAGAACACCCACAGGGCCACCGAACCGGATTTTCCTTTGAAGCCAGAGGATGAGGAGGAGGAGGGAAAATGGAGGGCCTGTGGTCTAGTCACAGGCCAGGGCCCACATGTGCAATTGCCTCTTTCCAGATGGGCCACCCAGGGACCACTCTACTGCCAGCTCTGTGCTCTCGTGGGGGCTATACTAGTTCAAGAAAAGAGGATGCTCCGAGCCTGTAAAGTGGAGAAGGTGGTGGGAAGGCAGGGAGGCAGGCTCTGGTCTGCCAAGAAGGCCCTGGCCATACCCCAACAAAAACCTGGCACAGATCAAACTATAGGGATGCCAATTAAGAAAATGATGAAGCTATGATTTACGAAGTCATAGGGCTGCCATAATTGGCTGAGGGTAGTGGGGGACCCAAGGGACGGGAGAACTGAATCAGCATAAGACAATACTGCTGTTCCAGATGTTTCTCCCCTGGGCCCAATTCAGATCCTTCTCTAAACCTAACAGGAAGCCAACACCCACGGGATCCCAGAGAACATGGCTCCTCACCTCATCTGGCCTGCTGCACGGAGCGGACTAGGTGGGAAGCTCCGGCCTCAGGCCAGTGCTGGCAATCACGTGGGAAAAGAAGAGGGAGGTGGGTCTCTCCCTCAGGCCAGGTGAGCTAATATCTGTATCTTTCTTTCCCTTCCTGACTGCATCCTCTATCCTACAAAATGGACACCCCAAAAAAAACACACCACAAAACTGGTCTGCTCCTCCCACCCCCAACTTTACAGGCATAGAAACATGGCTCCTCCCACCTTCCCCGCTGAGGACACTCTTCCTCCGCTTCTGGTCCTTCCTGGGCTTCAGCGACCAGCTCCAGCCAAAAGGGAAAGAGAAAGATGCTAACCCTGCCAGCACCCGTCTGTGCCCATGCCACCCACAGGGCCCTGCGCTGGCTGGCTGCTTCCCTTCCTTTCCCCACTTACTGGCTTCGGCTCAAAAACGGGGAGTGATCATCCCAGTCCCACCAAAGGTTCCCTGCAGAGTAAGCTCAAAGACAGGGAAGGTGAAGAAGTAGAAAAGGCCTAGGGTTAGGGATCAGTTCTGGGTTCAATTCCTGACCGTGCTCCTAATAGACTGGAGAGATAAGGCTGCTGATCACTGCTCGCAGGACTCAGTTTATCAACCTGATAAACTGTATGAGGACAGCCATCTCTAAGGTCACTTTGAGCTTTCTGACTTAAAACATCTGTCAGTAAAAGTCCTGTGAATAAATACTGAGTATTGACTGTGCTGCAGGCCTGCGGGGAAAAGGTGAGTAAGTCTGGTGCCAGCCCTAAAGCTGATCGGTCACTCCCACACTGCCGAGGGAGTCATAGGTGCTGAGCCAAGTCCGGGAAGGTGAGGGTAGTAGGTTCCTGCCTGTCCAGCACCTGATTCCGCTAGAACCATAGACCATACTAACGGGTGGGAAGGCAGTGGGAGCTGTCCTGACCTGGGAGTCAGAAACCCTGGCTTCAAGCCCTGGTTCTGCTAACATGCTGAGTAATATCAAGTAGTTATTTTCTTCTCCGGGCCTCAGTTTCTTCATCTGTATAATGTATAAGGGTTAAGTTCATCAATCTTAAGATCTCGTCCAGCTCAAAAAGTCTGTAATTTTAAGATGCTCTCATGCTAGGCACCTGAGTGCGATGGCCTCTGACCTTTTCTCGCCATTCCCCGACCCCCGACACCTGTCAAAACTGACCGTTCTGAGACAACCTTTGGCCCGGGATGCCTGGAATGGACCTTTAATCCGGAGTCAGAGTCCTGCCATCTCCACCGCAGCCATCAGTGCTAACGTTTCACTTCTCCGGCAGCACATGGACTCCTAGCCCTCAACCACGAGACCGGGTTCAGGGCAGTCACCCTGAAACTTCGCCTAACTTCCCCTCTCCGGCTGTGGGCAGGGACTTACTCTTGGCTTTTCTGGAACCGCAACATAAACAACACAGGGAACATCAAAGCTTTCAGACACCAGAGATTTTAGGGTGACCAACAGGGTCAAGAAAGTGAGTCAGCAAGGGAGGAGGGGACCTGGGATCCCACCTCAGCCCGGGCCTGCAGACACAGCGATGCAGAGGGAGTCTGCAGAGCCGGGGCTGTGGTTAGAGGGTGGGAAGGCAGATGTCTGGCGGCCTGGCTGGGGACCACAGCCAAAGGGAGGTGCTCCCACTGGAGCCTCTTGGTCTCTGTCTCCAAATGCCAGAGGTACGCCCTCATTCTTCCCCTCAGCTTTCAGACCCTTAGAAGGGAAAGGAAGAAAACTGACGTTTTCTGGGCCACTATTCGCGCCAGGTACTGTGCTAACCCCCTTCACGTGCCTGATCGCATTAACCCCAGTCATCTGGGGAGGCGTTACCGCTGCTCTTTACAGAGTAAACAGGCTCAGAGATTCGGGATCTTGCCCAAGGTCACACAGCCAGGAAGTGTGAGTGCTTCCTCGGGCCAGCCCTTCCCCACTACAGCACTCTGCTCTGTACCTGAGGTCCACCCTGAGGTCCGCCTAACCGCCGCCTAAACAGGCAGCAGGCCCTCTTATCTCCCAGAATCCACCAGCAAATCCCAGCAAACACACCCGGAACCTCCTTTCCCACTTCTCAATCCCCCGTCCCTCCCGGGGCTCTGGGCCGGTGACAGCCCCTCAATCAGAAAACACCCCTCCAGTCCCCTCTGGGTTCTCACAGCTGATCCGGGGACCAAACAGGAAGAGGGTCCGAGGGGGGGGGGGCGCTCTGAGTCCTGGGCGGAGAGGCTCAGCCCGGGGTGAGCAAAGGGGCAGAGGCTGGAGGAGGGAGCTCCTCTCCTTAGGGGAGGGGCCCACGTGTCCCCAGAGGGGCGGCCCGGGGACTGGGGAGCACCCCGGAAGTGACCTTGCCGGGGCTGCTGGGTGGGGTGGAGCTCTCACACTTCCAGGAGTCGCCAGGGAGGCTGCGGGGGCTGTGGAGGGGAGTGGAGGAAGACCCTGGGAGTGGGGTCACGGCGGGCCCCCCCAGGTGATTTTGGGGGGCTGTCTGTTGCAGGGGAGGCAGGGCACCAGGGAGGCTTGTCCGTTCTGAGCACAGGCGGCAGGACAGCTAGGGTGGGAGTGGGGGGTCCGGAGTCCGTCTTCCCTAAGGGGACTGCCAGCCTCTGCACCCCATCTCTCCGAGGACTGGGCTCTGGGGGTTCCGTGGGGCAGAGAGTGGCTCCCCAGTTTGCCCAGCTCGGAGGGAAGGAAAGGGGTGCTCCAGGGCCTCCCACTTCCCTGGCTGCCGGCTGAGGGAGGGCCTGGGTGCTCTGGGGGTCGGGGACCGGATCCCGCCGGCTCCCCCTCTGCACCCTTTCGCCCATTTCCAGAGGATGCACAGAACCAGCCGGCAGGCAGGCGGTCCCGGCTTGGGGGAGGCGCTGTCACCTTGTGGGTGCTGGGAGGGGGGACTGCCCACCCGCCAACCCCCCCCCCAGGAAGAAACCTGCCTCTGAGGTGGGGGGGGGGGCAGGGGAGCACCCTGAGACCCTCCTAGGAGGGGAGGGGGCTGTCTGCCCAGAGGTCTTTGTTTCTGTTGTAAGGAGCGAGAAGGGGGCCGGACAGTGTGTCCCTCTGACCTCTGCCTACGATGTCCCCTGGAGAGGGGCAGAGAGGCGGTGAGGCAATGGCGTCTGAGGGTCGGGGGGGGGGGGGAGGTAGAGGGGTGCAGAAAACGCCTGCTGGGGAGGGGCAGCCATCTGTAGCCTGTGGAGGGGCAAAGGCAATCAGCCCTAAGGCCCGGGGGCAGCAGTGACGCTGGGGCAGTGTCTGTCCTGAATTTGGGGGAGGACCCAGTGGGCCTTCCCGGGGGAGGGAAGGGGGGACGGGGAGGAGAAGGGGGAGGTGGGTTCAGCCTGTGGGTCCACCGGTCGGCAGTGGGTTGGGAGCCCCAGAAGCGGGGTCCGTCTTCCCCGGGGGCAAGTGGGGGCGGGTCGGGGGGGAGAGGGGGCCCGTAGTTCCTGGTCCGGAGAGGGGCACGCCGGTCGGCCCTGAGGGCGCTCGGTCCGCGTGGAGCCCTCCCCGCGCCTTCCCCCGCGGGTCCCGCGCCCCGGCCCGGCCCCCGCTCCCGGCCCCGGCCCCGGCCCCGGCCCCCGGCGCTACTCACGCGCCCTCGGCGCCCTGCGCGCCCACGATGAAGCCGAACTTGTCGATGCGGCGCTCAGCGAAGCCGTTGGCCTCCGAGTCGGAGCCGAGGGAGCTGAGCTCGTCGGTGGCGGCCGCGTCGGGGCCCGGGGCCAGGTTCTCGCGGGTCCCCGACAGGCTGCCCCCGGCCGCGGGCGACCGCGGCCCGTTCTCGCCAGGGCTCTTCGCCATCACGGCCGCGCCCGCCGCCTCAGCCTCCGCGGACACCTCGCCACCTCAGCCGCCCGAGCCGCCCCGCCGCCCAGCGCCCAGCCGCCGCCGCCGCCGCCGCCGCCCCGCCCACACGCCGCACCCATTGGCCGCGGCGAGGCCGGAGGCGGGCCCTCCGGAGCCCTCCCTCCCACACCCAATAGGCGACGCGGACCCAGGGGCCCGCCCACCTCCCCCAGGACGGCGCCAACAGGCCCGACGTGAAGAGGCGGGGCAGCCCCACTTCCCCTCGGGGCTGCCAATCACCGGGGCTCACCTGAAAGCGTTCTGCTGGCCTTTCCGGGTTGGCGGGAGCCGGTCTGTCACCTGTGAGGCCGAGCCGGCCGGGGCAGCGGGCGTCCGCTGAGGATCCCGCATCGTCCTCCCTGCTCCTCACGAGACCACCCTCCCCCCCAGGACGTGGGTGAGGATTATTTCATTTGCTTTTGTGAGGGGCTCCGAGGAGACTCAGGATGGGTTTGGGGACTAGCCAGGAGCATGGAGTTCGGCAGCCCCTTCGCCCTGCTCATGCTTCTGGGGCTTTCAGCGAGCTCCTGGGAGACCTTTGAAGAAGAGCCAGCCCTGGCCGGTTGGGCTCAGTAGGTAGAGCGTTGCTCCCCGGACTGCAGGGTCCCAGGTTTGTTTCAGGTCAAGGGCACGTTCCTCGGTTGCAGGCTCCATCCCCGGCCCCAGGGGTCGCAGGGGTGCTTGGGGGAAGCAGCCAGATCACATGTCTCTCTCACATGGATGTTTCTCTCTTTCTCTCTCTCCCCCTCCTTTCCTCTCTCTCTACAAACATCAATGGAAAATGATCTGGTGAGGATTAACCAACCAACAAAAATAATAACCCAAGGGACATCTGTAATTGTATCGACAATAAAAAAAATTAAATTAAAAAAAGAATAACCAAAGTTTATTGAGCCACGCACTGCCCACTTTCTCTTATAATCTTCCCACACTTACACATAACTTGGAGATCTAATCAACATACTGTAAAAAAAAAATTACCCGCTTAAAGTGTATAATTCAGCGGTTTTTAAGCCGATAGAGTTGTGCAACCAACCACCATAATCTAATTTTAAAACATTCTCATCACTCCAAACAGAAATTCCTATCCACTAGCAGTCACTCCCCAGGCTTCCTCCCCCCAGCCCTTGGCAACCACGAATCTGCTTACTGTCCCCATAGATTTGCCTTTTCCTGGATATTTCATATCAATGGAAATATATAAATATATATATATACACACACACACACACACATACATACACACACACACACACATTTCATTCTTTTTTATGGCTGAATAGTATTCCCTTGAATGGATAGACCTCATTTTGTTTATCCATTTGTCAGTGATGGTCACTTGGGTTGTTTCTATTTTGGAGGCTATTTTGAATACTGCTGCTATGAACATTGAGGCACAGACATTTGTGGGAAAATATTTTTGTTTCTCTTGGCTAAATATCCAGGAGTGAGAATTTCTGGGCCCCCTGGTAACTCTGTTCAAACATTTTGAGGAACTGGCAAACTGTTTTCCAAATTGTTCAACCATCTTTCTATATATATAAAAGCCTAATATGCAAAGTATCCCCTCAGGAGTTTGATCAGCTGGGAGTTTGATGGTTTGCTATGATGTGTGTTGACCACCAGGGGGCAGCGCGAAATGGAGGAAGGCTTTGGCCAGCGACCAGCAGTGGCTAGGGACCCTACCATGCACAAATTTTGTGCACTGAGCCTCTAGTCTCCTATAATCTTTTAGCAACAAGGTAGATACTATTATTAGTCCCCTTTTCCAGTTAAGAAAACTGAGGTGCAGGGAAGTGACATCATCAGCCTAGGGTCCCAGAACTAGCTATGGCAGAGCCAGGATTTGAATCTAGCTCTTACCAGCCGCTTATATTGGGAGGCATTAACCCATTGTATCAACACAGACTTAGCTCCCAGAAGCCTCCTTCTGACCCCAGGGGTTGTCAGCACCTGGAGCCATAATGATAGTTCTTCACGTAAGTCCAGTACCATGGTGTCATCCGACAACCTACTATAGAGCTGTAAGGGAGACAGGCCCAGAGCCGGGAAGGGACCGCAAGAGCCAGACCTGAGCTGCAGGGCCTGGGACAGGCTGGTAGCTCAGGGGCCCAAAGTGAGCCCCAAGAGGCGGTTCGTAAGAATTCGGTGACCTCACCAGTCATTTCCTTGATGCTGGGTGGCCCAGACATTCTTGAAGACTTGGCTGTAGGTCTTCACATTCCATAGGCTTCTGGTTTTCCATAAACAGGGCAATAGCAGACATGGGAGTGGGCACAGGCTATTTTGGTCTTAAATTCTGTCTGGAAGGATGTTCCCTCCTCTCCAGTGGCTCCAGACAGAGTGGTGGGCTCTCAGTCCCAGCTCCCGGGCAGGGCAGAGTGGGCCTCGCATCGGGCTGTGGGCCGATCCCAAGAAAGGGAGAGAGGAGCCAGATACACCTGGAGCAGATATGAAGCCCCAACGCTGGCAAAGTATCTACAACCCTTTGACTCCATAATTCTGGTCCTGGGGTCATTTCCCAAACATATTCAGTTCTGTAAAGGCACATGTATGCAGTGTGACCACCCCAAGGGTATTTGATGTGGGGTGGGAGGTTCGAGGGACCTGGTGTCCCTCTCTGGGAGACTGGATAGATGTTTCTCAAGGCCTTCTGATTTTCTTACGCCAAGATCACCCAGGATTCAAATCTCTACTCCGTCACTGTGACCTTGAGCAAATCATTTCTTTTTGAGCCCATTTCATCTGCAAAATGGAAATATTGGGGGGAAAATACCACCTTAGAAGAGCTGTTCTGAGACTTGAGTGGGATAATATATGCTAAGCATCTGGCGCACGGAGATACCCAGTAGATGGGAGCCAGAAGGGGTGGCATTTGTGGCTTGCAAAGCTCTTGTAAATTCATCATGGTCTGTTCCCTGCACAGCCTGTGGCTGCAGTAGGGAAGTTTACCTAATTTAACATGGCTCGGAGTCTTTGTTTCATGAATGTGCCTTCTCAGTAACTGGATGTTCCTATGCAAGTCTTTAAAATCATCAGGTTGTGCCTAGTTTGCCTAGCAGTGCCACACCAGGAACATCTGCCCCCAATCCACAGTCCCGCCTGGTGGAGCAGTGAGGGCAGCGTGGTCACCGGATGGAAGAGCTGCTTTGGCCTCTCAGAGCCCTCATCACTGGCTGCCTGACCGCGGATCTAGCTCATCCATCCACACAGTGGGCAGAGAATCCTCAGAAGATGGAGACGAGAAAAGCTGTGCAAGCAAGGAGCTGCCTACATGCTGCAGGCCCTAAACAAGAAGCGCACAGTGCTGGGCCTGTGGCCGCTGACGGACACAGGCTGCCTTGTGGTCAATGGGCCTTCTGCGGCTGGGCCAGGACACATGCCCATTCACGAGCCCTGGGAAGCTGGGTTTGGGCCCCAGAGGGCCACTCAAAGGTCCCATTCACTCACATTCCTCCCAGCAGCATTCCAGGCCTGGTCACAGCCCGTCCCGGAGGGCCTGTGGACCTGCCAGTCTGTGGAGGCGTGTCCATCTCGAGCCAACGGCAGGGAGAAAGGAGCTTGGAGTGTGGGACTCGCCCAGGTCTCCTGACCCCTTCCCTCTTGCAGTGAGAGCCAGGCGGTGTTCTGAGGGATTTGGGGTGTTGGCCATGGAGAAGCAACGAGCAATAGGCTCCAACTACAGAGCCCACTTCAGAAAGCCCAATGTTAGCCAGGCTCCTGGAGAAAACCTGCAGCAGCCAGGCAGGAGACAAATGTCAAGAAGGGTGCGGAGTAACATCCCACAGAGCAAGTTAAAAACCTGGTCCAGCATCTGTAACAGAGCCACGGGGGACACAGGGATGGGGTGTTGACTAAAATACTGGCTCTATGACCTTGGAAATGGCCTCCCCCTTCTGAGGCCTAGAGATGACCTCATGGGACAGCTAGAAGGACCAAACAGAGGGACTGACTGCAAAGAAAAGGCTCTGGGAACTCGTGGGGAACACACACATGAGATGTTCAGAATGAAATCAGTTTATATTAAAAACCAGGAAGCAGTTACCAACAGGCTGTCACCGCCTCCCTCAGGTCACTTACAGCAGCCCCTCCTTCCTGTGACAGCGCAATCCCAAAACAGCAGCCTGCACCTGGCCCTTCCTAGGGAGCCAGGACTGACAAGTATTCTGCACACATTTCCACCTCTTCACTGTGTGACTGTGGGTATACGACTTACCCTCTCTGTCCCTGTTTACTCAAGGGGAAAAATAGGAATGCTCAGTAGGCAGAGATACGGAACATGAGAAGGATTCAACGTGCCGTTGCTGACTTTGAAGGTAAAAAGGGCCAAGTCCCAAGAGATGCAGGTAGCCTTGGGCCTCAGAGCTAAGAATCCAGTCACACCACATCTGGACTTGTGACTTACAGGCTGTGAGCTAATAGGCAGATGCTGTTTATACACACACACGCAGGAATACTCACATTAGTATTACATAAGTTAAAATTGATAATGTTTAGGACAATAGGGGGTAAGTTGGTTCAACTTTATAGTCCTTGGAATAGTTCATGGCCTCAGCACAATTACTTTTTTTTTTTTTTTAAACCTCATGTCCCTGTGCTCACTCAGCATAAGCCACCGGCCCAAGGTCAAGAGCCAATGAGGTGAGGGGTGATTCCAGGCCTGCAGGAAACCGCTACCCTCATCTGCATGTGTCTCACCGCTGACCCCTGACCCAGGCACTACGTCTCGCCCGTCCTTGTTCTCCTGTGCTCATGGCTGTGGAAGACATCTGTATAGTCTGTTAAATCACAGGGCTGCGCCTTAGAGTCCGAATGCTTTAAAAGAATAATAAAAATACATCCTCCCATGAGTCATCAAAGACTTGATGGTGTCAATAAGTTAGTTAAAAAGCCAGTGCTCCTCCCTCCTCCCCATTCTACCCTGCCTTGAGTCTGGACAGGGTGCAGGTGGCCGA